TAACAAACCAATATAGTATCTATTATTTTTACACCAGAGCTAACAATGGCTAGTATCACATGTCCTTACAGAGTCTTTCCATGATTGTTTAACATTATCATACTTTTTAGCATCCAAATCAAAACCTTGATTCCACGTTGATAACATCATCCAACACTATACATTTCATCATACACAACATTAGAAACCATCATTTTGAAATTTACATTCCTATCCTTTCTAGCAACATCATCACAAGGTATTATCTTGGGTTCGATCGTTAGGGATATCTTGTCATTCAATGCAGATAGGTAGCCAATTTCTTTGCACTTTATTTGGGTAGCATTATTATCTTTACTTTGGCTAACCGATGACTCTTCATAACTATCTATTTTGCATACACTTTATTATATCATTTTCATAGTTCGTGCTATCACTATCAGACCAGCTTCCATCAATGTCGCCAGCAATCCTTTCATCATCACATCTATTTTCACAACCACGTCTAACAGTGCTTGTATTATTACCATCGCTCCATCTTGATTATAATGTCCAGAGACAGGTAATTCATTAGTATCATCTATATTAGTGGGTTTTTAATAATGAATGAACATTTGATGTTTATCCTTTTCAACACCAATCTCCTTTTCATAACAATATTTAACAGCATATGTTTTGCTATCATTATCTTTATCAGCAGGTTTTTAATAATAGTTGAACACCTTATATTCATTCTTATTAATTTCAATTCCAATTCCATATTGATAAAATAGTCCAAGATCGTCCTATGCCTTTAAACTACTTTCAGCAGATGTTCGATAACAGACACATACCATGTTCTTATTCTTTTAACACCATTGCCTTTTTCATAACAATACCCAAGATTATTCTGTTTATCAGTTTCAGGTTTGTCCTCTGAATTTACATCTTTTATACCTGATCTTCTTTTATTCCATTTATTAACGCTTCAGTTTTTCCTTCTATCAAAATTCATGCATCTAATATTTACATCGCCTTTAACCATTTTATCAACATTATCAATCTCACGATCAATATCTTTTGGGGTTTTATTCACTATTTGGACGTCAGGTATGTGTTTTTCAGGTCCTTTTCTGTCAATGTTTATTTATTGTCCCTAACCATTTTCTTTCTATATTTTGCATTTCATTTGAAATCACCACGGTTCTTTTTACCAATATCTATATGATATATTTCAATCAATTTATTATTCAAATATCAATCTCTATCTTTCTGAGATAGACACGAACAAGCTAAGTGTTCTTTACAATGGCAAATATAGCACAAACGTGACCTATGCCTTTTCTGTTTTTCCTGAACCATTTTCAAGCTTTTCATTACTTCTTGAACTACCAGCTTCACCAACGTAGCCAGGTAGTTTGGCCCCTTCATTCTCTTTGGTTTAACCACTCAGGTAGACTTTTTCTTCATTTCAACTCACAACGTCAATTTTGCCACCAATGTTTTGAGCACAGGAATTCAGCAACTCTATTCACCTAACTGACTTTGGTTCACGGCTCTACTGACTTTGGTCTTGTGTCTCTTTCAACTTTGGTCTCACATCTCTACCGACTTTGGTCTCACAGCTTTATCAATCTTTGGTCTCAAAGCTTTACCAATCTTTGAACTCAACCCTTTACCACCTTCGATTTCACAGATTTACCACCTTCGGCTTCACAAACTTCCACCTTCAGTTTTATAGCTTTACTTTCTTTACTTATTTTGGCAAGTAAGACCTTTCTCTTGTCCAGGTTCTTGTGTCATGTACAAATCTCACTTTACTAACTTTGTGTCTGCTTTCACTAAGAGATTGTTCGCTTTGCTTGAGTTTTACTTGATTGGTGTATCATACCAGATCTTCTGCCTTGTTAGATACATATACGAACATTTGGGCACTTGTTCACTTAGAACCATTTTTTTATTATACTAAAAACTGCTTTCTTTGCTTTATTAGAGATGCCTCTATTTATAATACAAGATTATCATCAGATAAGTAATTATCTGGTTATATGTATTTGACTATTACCTAATTTTATGCATTCAGTAATTCAATGATCATGCAATTCATGCAACAGATCATGCTACACGAACCTGATCCTATTTCTGGCACTACAAATTCCAAGGATACTGACTAACCTATGTCAAAAAGTACTTCTAATAGTCTGTAAAATATATACTGGGGTTTGGATAACTTTACAAGGGCAAAAGTAGGTAATAGTAATAGCTTTAGCTCGCAAGTACCTGTCACAGACTTGGCATAAGTTACTGAAGCCTAGGCTAACTGGATTGTCAGTACAGAAAGCTCTAGCAGGTTTACTTCAAGGATAAAGAGCTTACTAGTTGAGCCTGTTTTAAAGTTCTAAGTTGGGTATCTTAAAGGATTTACCCTAATTCAGTTATAAAAAGATTGACCTACATAAAGTGCAGAAAGTTTAAATAGATAACCCTAGTTAGATTATAGGTATAATATCTAGTGTAGAACTTAGTAATAAGTAGACTATTTAAATAGGCAATTAAAAGTTGTACATGTGGCTAGTATATATCCTCCAAATATGTATACTTTACGAACTGTCTAAGAGGAGCTTAACATATGGTAAAGTTAACCTATAATTGAATAAAGAGAACTGGCCAAGAGGTCACCTTAATACCAAAAAAAAAATAAAATAAATCAAAACTAATCTAAATTTTTTGTTCTTGATTTTGTGTAATGATATTATGCAACTATCTAGTTTATTAAATTTTAAATTTTAGCAAGAGTTTCAAATTCAGTATAAGATTCAAATCAGAGTTTTAGATTTTTAATTTTTATCAAAACTATTAAAGTTTTAGTTATATATATAATCATATTATCTTTTATTAATGATTACTAAAATTTTATACCAAACAAATTTACTTAGAAGATAAAGATAAGTTATCTTAGTAAAATAAAAAGGTGGTCAAGCAATCAAATAAATAACTCTTTTTGATGATCCTTTGACGACAACAACCAAAAAATTAAACTATAAAAAAATATTATAGAAGTTGCTTAAGTAAATAATAAACTTGATTCTATGAAAGTAGTTATATTTCAATAAAATACCAAGAGTGTAAAACTAGGAAGCAGTCTATTTTTAACTGATTTTGGTAGAGGTCAAACTTTAATTAGTGGACTCTTCTATCCTATTCAGTATCTAAACTAGAAAGATATTTTAAAAACACAAAATGACTAGATTGACACCAAAAGTATTTTAAACTTTGAGTTATCTCTATATAACTATAAAACTTACAAGAAACAATCGCAAAAATTCTTGATGGTTCACCACTTTTTTCAAGTAAATTTTGTTAAAAAGTGAATATTTTAGCTTACTTCTCCAAAAATTGATATATAATTTTTCAAAATAGACAGTATTGTTAATTATTCAAAACAGAAGATTACTGCATAAGTATTTATTATTTATAGTAGACCTGGTAATCTGTATGATCTGATTAATTAGATTAGTGCACTGGATATGCATAAGAGCTGATTTGAATATACATAAGAGCAAATCAGAAATAATATGTGAGGGTAATGTGATTTAAATACTATAAAACTATTAAACAATACTCCAAGACTACTAATGTGATTTTAATTTCAACTACTCTGTCTAGTTTACTAGTTTAGTTTCTTCTTTTAAGTAGATTTTTGCTATAAATACATATATTATTAGAATAAAGTTAGATACAGAGCTTCTTTATCTTGTTATATATAATTTTTAAAACTCAACACAAGCTTATAATTGTGACCTGTCAGATTTTATTTTCTTTTTCTCTCCATCTTTTGTCTCTGTTTTTGTTTTTAGTATTAGTTTTTATTATTTTTATTTTTTCTATTTAATATTAATATTAGTATTAGTGCTTTATGTTATCAGATTGGTGATATTCTATTGTAGGGCAGTGGTTTGACAGTTTCTTTAAGATAGAAATAGTTTTTATTTTGAAACTTATTGGGATATATTCAAATGGATGTGTCTGCTTAGTGTGGCTGATCGCTTGTAAATACTCTTTGAAGTAACTGCAGGCTGTTAGATTCAAATTATTAAATATACTTTATTCACCTTTTGTTCTACCTGGTGATTAGAAACTTAATAAAGAATACTAGCAAGACAGCTAAGGTAGAAAAATAAATAAAAATAAAAGGTTGTTATATAGCAACCCTTTTTTTTCTAAGATAATCTATCTTTATCTTCTAAGTAAACTTGTTTGACATAAAGTTTTGTGTGTAGTTATGGTTTTATAATTAAAAATTTATTCTTTTATAAATTCTTTAAAAATATGTAATTTTTACAGAATTCTAAGAATATGTTCTAAATAACCTTAATCTACTATTTTCGATATTGGAGTTTTTGCCTTGAAATCACTCTCTAAAATTTCTTATTGAGTTAATTTGGACAAAAATAAACCAAAGCACCAGTTCATTTTAAATATTAATCTTTTTTACCTTTATTTGATTCAATATTTATTCGTAAACTATTAAATCAATAAAGGTAAAAGATGATTAACATATAAACATGAACCGGTAATCGGGTTTATTTTTGTCTGAATTAACCCTATCGGAAATGAAGTTGATTTTCAAGGCAAAGATCCCATATGCTTACTCCCAAAATTTGAAAATAAGTTAATTAGTAATTGAAAATAATGTGGAACTTTAAGCTTATATATGGTGCTCCAAGTCACTTCACATCAAATGCGCCAAATTTGAGTCTATATAAATGCTTTTTAGCCAATCAGAATGC